GGTGAGAGAACTAAATATTCACTGTAAGTAGAAAGAATTATTTTTGACCTTTCGCCTCTATCTGACCACAGGTGTTTTCGCCCCCACACTGTTTTCAAAGGCTTATGGAAACTTTATATGTGAGGGCTGTAACAACTCGCTTAGTAACACCACAAAGCCCTTCATTTGTAATAACTGCCACTATGACCTGGTACGTTGTTTACTTAATAAAATTCAAGCCATTTAGACATATAATCCAGAGCACAGTAGTTAAATATATGACCATGATGTTTTTCTACAGAGTGAAAACAACCGACCCCTCTTTTTGAGTCATATCGAGTGAGTATACGAACACACTTGTTTTTGCAGCATAACGATTTTTAAATGTCTAAATTCCGTTTTTGTTTTCAGGCCTTTAGTGTACACAATCTCTGTCCTGTTGCCTGCTGCGTATCTTATTGGTCTGATCTTCACGCTTAAGACTCATTCGCATATTTATGATCTCCACATTAGTGATGCCCACTGTCATGGTGCGTATTTGTGATTTTGCATTTGGATTATGCCATTCTGGTTATGTGATGCTTTTATTTAATGTCTTAATTATTCTGTTTGTGTTAGTTATTAGCGACCATGGTGCAGTGGTTCACTGGTCTAGAGCGAGAGCTCTACTGGTGCTCATTTTGGCTACGGTGTTGATGGCAGCTTGCGCTGATCTCAGCACTGAGCACATCAAACCTATAATTTCCAATTCCAGTGTCTCACAGGTACATTTATTTTATTTTATTTAAAATAATTTTTTTTTTACATATGGAATTCATTTTATTTGATGATTTTCATGTTATTTTGGTTTGATACCATTTTTTTTATATTACGTAAAGGTTATTTTTAAAAGTAATTTATTTTTAAATTAATTAATAAATGTATCAAATTAATAAGTTTTCCCATTTTTATATTTTCTATATGAAATTAAATGTCTCCTATGTGTAGTCCCTGTTCTGTATTTAATCTTAGATATTCACATATAAATATATTTTGTTGCAGTATTTATCGAGTGAGTATACGAACACACTTGTTTTTGCAGCATAACGATTTTTAAATGTCTAAATTCCGTTTTTGTTTTCAGGCCTTTAGTGTACACAATCTCTGTCCTGTTGCCTGCTGCGTATCTTATTGGTCTGATCTTCACGCTTAAGACTCATTCGCATATTTATGATCTCCACATTAGTGATGCCCACTGTCATGGTGCGTATTTGTGATTTTGCATTTGGATTATGCCATTCTGGTTATGTGAAGCTTTTATTTAATGTCTTAATTATTCTGTTTGTGTTAGTTATTAGCGACCATGGTGCAGTGGTTCACTGGTCTAGAGCGAGAGCTCTAGTGGTGCTCATTTTGGCTACGGTGTTGATGGCAGCTTGCGCTGATCTCAGCACTGAGCACATCAAACCTATCATTTCCAATTCCAGTGTCTCACAGGTACATTTATTTTATTTTATTTAAAATAATTTTTTAATTTTACATATGGAATTCATTTTATTTGATGATTTTCATGTTATTTTGGTTTGATACCATTTTTTTTATATTACTTAAAGGTTATTTTTAAAAGTAATTTATTTTTATATTAATTAATAAATGTATCAAATTAATAAGTTTTCCCATTTTTATATTTTCTATATGAAATTAAATGTCTCCTATGTGTAGTCCCTGTTCTGTATTTAATCTTAGATATTCACATATAAATATATTTTGTTGCAGTATTTTATTGGAGTTACTATATTGGCCATGGTTCCCGAGCTTCCTGAGATAGTCAATGGGATCCAGTTTGCTCTTCAGAACAACATCAGCCTCAGGTTACAATGATTTGGTGTTAAAATAGATGTGCACTTGACTATTTTCACTATGTGATCTGGATGTGGCTCTAATATGGATATTTGCCGCCATGTAGCCTGGAAGTGGGGAGCTGTATTGCAGTTCAGGTGTGCATGTTGCAGATACCACTACTGATCTTTTTCAATGCTTTTTATGTAAGTCACACTCCCTCCCCCCTCCCCCCCAAAAAAAGTTGGTTTGTGTTACTCAGTTCTGCAGTATGACACAAGTTCTTTTTGTTTCTCTCTAGGATGTTGGATTCGTTCTCATATTCAGTGATTTACACCTCTGGGCAAGCATCTTTAGCGTGATTCTGGTCAACTACATATTTATGGATGGAAAGTCGGACTACTTTCAGGGTGAGCATTATTATTAGTATTGATTAAAGGAATAGTTCGTACAATATTAAAATTCTATCATTATTTATGTGCCATCATGTTACTGTACAAAAGCTCTATGTAAGGAACAGCCTTGAAAATCCTGCTTGACAGCCATGATCAGCACTTACTTTCACTGTATGAAAAGAACCGCTTGGATATTCAGCTATAAATAACTTCTTTGTATTCCAATGAAGAATGCAAGTCCTACAGGTTTGAAAAAGACTGATAACACAATTTTCATTTTTGGGTGAACTATTGAAAAAATTAACAGTAATATAAATTTTTTTTGTATAATGTATGAATTAACGTATTTTGTTTATTGTGCATTTCTGTTGTGCTTGGTATGAAAAGAACCGCTTGGATATTCAGCTATAAATAACTTCTTTGTATTCCAATGAAGAATGCAAGTCCTACAGGTTTGAAAAAGACTGATAACACAATTTTCATTTTTGGGTGAACTATTGAAAAAATTAACAGTAATATAATTTTTTTTTGTATAATGTATGAATTAACGTATTTTGTTTATTGTGCATTTCTGTTGTGCTTGATTTGAGACAATTAATAGTATTGTTAAATGTAATCTGATTTGGTTTAGTTGTAAAGATTAGTACGATTAGTTCAAGTTGTTACATAAAATAGTGAATACTAAATCTTTTTTTTTTTTTTTTGTGCCTGAACAGGAACCGCTCTGGTGGTCGTGTACCTAATTCTTCTGGCTTTGTACTTTTTTGCACCTGCTCCTCTTGGATGTTAAGAAAAAAGACTTTCCTTGTCTTTTATAGTTGGCGTGTTTCTAGTGTATTTTTGTCTTATATACTATAAAGTTCTTTATACGGAATATTTTCCAGCATGTGACATATGAGAGCTCTTACTTTTGAGCCTTATAGAAGCTGAGCGCAATTTCACCAGGTGTTTACTTAAAAATGCATAATATTTTACATTTACACAAAAGTAAAAGAAACGGATGTAGCACTGAGTCACAATGAAATTATAATAAATGTTGTATTCCTTTCATTCACTTTTCTTGAACTTGTGTAAACACTAGAGATTCAACACGCCACCAGTTGGAAGTTGTTTATTAATTATTCAACAATAAAACACAAAACTGGTACACAAGTTACAGGTAACCGGTGAGTACCTTGAACATTTGCTGCACAACTGAGGAATCGAAGTCCAGCGAGACCCCTCGTCTCAAAAAGAAAAAACACAAATGTAGGGACTGTCGTCACTCCATTCAGACTGAGTGAAAAATTTCACTGTGCTGCTGAAATCATTTCTGAAAATAAATGTGTAGTTGTCTCAGTCTGCACGTCGCCTGTATGACAAAGCACCCTTAAATCCTGACCCATGCAAACAGGAATCCAGTCATGCAGAAAGAAAATGGCAGAAGGTGGGTGGGTACTGGGTAGGCACATATTATGGGCATGTATGTGACCTAAAACCAGAAAAAAAGCTACTTTGTCAACATAAATCAAATTTTACTGGGTGTAATAGCAATTATTAATCTTTTAACATTTTACTCGACTATATCAATTGCTGGTGCCTAATGAATGTAGTTAAATGACCAAGAACTGCAACAGGTTAAATAACCCAACAAGGCAAAACGCATTAACTCTGAATTCAAGATGCTGTATTCGGCGTTGCGGCCAGAGATGTTTTGAATTCAGAGCTTGATTTTTTATTTTTTTTAGGTCAGCATAGAGAAAGATGCTCCGCTACATTATTGCTAAATGACAGGAAGGTTATCTGTTTTTCTGTACAGATATACACAAGGCCCAAAATATCATTAGCATTATGCTGACCAAATGGTTTTAAATTTAGATAGTTTTATTTATTGTAAATGCATCAAGTGCTAGAAAGCTTGATGAAAATGGCAAGCGCACATCTGTTGTATTATAAATTCAGGTCAGCTTGTTCTAGAATAGAATTTGAGTTAAATAATAATAAAGTGCTTTTAGCAAGGCTTTGTTAAATTTAGCACTATCACATCTTGCTTAGTAAAGGCACTGTCAATGTGTCCGTTTGAACATTTGGATGAGGGATGATTTAAGGAAAAACATTTTATTTCAGTAAAAGCATTAAAAGTAAATTAAGGAGCACCTTATTCACAGTGATGTAACGATTGGTTTACAAAACTGGGTGAAAAATGGGAACAGCTCTGCAATGACTGTACAGCTTTGTTGACACATTACTTGGTCTGGTGTTTGTGCCTAAATGCAGATGTAACTGCAGATCTGAGCAACAGCATCCAACCTAAAAATCAACATTCTCTGTTAAAACATTCAATTTTTCAACACTGTTTTGCACCGTTTTCACTGAAGTAAAGCCTTAAATCCCAATCCCAGACATCAAGAGTTCTGCATAAGTCTGTTCAGATATCCAAACAGTTGCCTGGAAACTCAAGCTAATCGAACCCGGATTACATCTCTGCTGATTAAATATTCATGCCGTGGTGTGGTGATTCATAAAACTTAAATAATTCTTTGACAGGAGAGGAAATAGAATTAAGATACATAATTAAAATCAACTCAACATGTCCCCCAGGTCACTACTGAAGGCCAATAAATAATATTACAATCTCAAGAAAGAAAGAAAGAAAAAAAAAAACCTTTCAGGTCACTGACCCATAGTGTTTGAGAAAAGAACTTTCTCTCTAATGGAGATTTATGTTTTGTATTGATTTTTCAAATCATTAAAAGGAGCATACGCAAAACAAAAAAAGGCATTCTACAGTTTTTGGTTTTAAGGCGAGGAAATAGAATTAAGATACATAATTAAAATCAACTCAACATGTCCCCCAGGTCACTACTGAAGGCCAATAAATAATATTACAATCTCAAGAAAGAAAGAAAAAAAAAAAACTTTCAGGTCACTGACCCATAGTGTTTGAGAAAAGAACTTTCTCTCTAATGGAGATTTATGTTTTGTATTGATTTTTCAAATCATTAAAAGGAGCATACGCAAAACAAAAAAAGGCATTCTACAGTTTTTGGTTTTAAGGCAGGCTTTGTTAGGATGGAGTTCCTTGGTTGATCCTGTTTTTCAAGTCCACACACTGGCTTCAAGTGCTGTCGTCCTGCCCATAATCAGCTTCCAAAAAGAAGAAGAAATTAAATAAAATAAAAAAAGGTACACGCACAGTACGTACACAATCTGTCTCTCGTGCTCACAGCCCCCTCGCCTCTTTATTTCAAGCGTTCAATGAGTTCCTGGGTGAGGCCCAAGTTTAGCAGCTGTATCGGGGTAAGTTGGGCCAGGTGTGGGAAGGCTTTGAGCAGACGCTCCCAGCACAGCTCCAGCAGACTGGGCACTACCAGCCAGATCTTAAACAAGGAACCAGTCCGCTTATTCTCATGGATGTTCACCACGCCACCATGGATGTACATGCAGCCGGCCTGAAAGAGAAAAAAAGACATTTAGAACGATTTTAGATTTTTACCAGTGTAAAAGGTACTTTTGGAAAATTGTTAACAGCAGAATAAATATTTATAAAGTAAACAATATAAATAAATAATTCAAATGAATGAATGAAAAAAAAAAAACTAAGTATGAACTGACCGGGGTAACAGCAGCACAGTGGAAGTACGCAGGTTCAGGCATCACTGCAGGCAGTTTATTCCACTGAAACGTCTGCAGGTTGATTTTCCACAGGTCGTCTAGTATTACTTCACCATTGTAACCTCCACATATAAATACAGCTGCCACAAAGAACAGCAGCAATCACACACTGAGCCCTACAACAGATCTTAAATTCAACATTTACATTATTAACACCTTACCATTTTTAATCTGCACACAACTATGACATCTCCGAGGGGCTGGGTATCCTGAAAAAAAAGCACTGATTAAGCATGTACTTTTACAGCATGCTTTCCATTGTCAGATGTTAAATTGCTTAAGACAAGAATTGCATTACTAACCTATTCTTTCATGAGGCTTAGTTGTGATTTCCTCCCAGGAATTAGTTTCAAGGTTATATGCGTGTATCTGACACAAACATTTGGGACAACTGTCATTATAATTTCTGAAAAAATCATTAATTAATCCATAATAATTTAATATATAAATTGTCTAACCAGACCGCAGATAACAATTTAAGTATGAATTACATGAATGTTTTCATCTTTCTTGAGCAAGGCCCATTAGTTCCAGTAAACAAATGATGTCATGTAACACAGTGAACACTGCCAAAAATGGCAATTCATGGAAACATTTGTACCTTGTCTAATGGGTAGGAAGTCCAGGAAGTTCCCCCTCCTAGAATATATATCCTCTGTCCATCATGGGCTATCTCATGCCTATATCTATACAAAACAAATTTCGAAGGAAGTTTGGCATATCTGTTCATAGACTGACATTTTAACATCAGACAAAAAGTGGTGGCATGCATAAATGTGTTCAGTGACCCTAGCTTTGTTTAAAATAAAATGTAAGGTCAAAAGTCACTTACCGCTCCTCCGGCAGGTCGTCTAGAGGGTTGTTGGGTTTCAGATGAATCCACTCACGTGTTGTCAGATCCAGTCTGTGAAGATCTGTGCTATAGATGTAGCCTGTCGTACCTCCAAATACATATAGGAAGCCGTTGATTATGGCCATCGCCTTCAAAACAAATAAGGGATCACTCAATCAATCAATGTAAGTTAGTATGTTTACTAGTAAACATCGGGACTTATTAAGGCTTTCGTACCTGTCCATATATTCGATTGGGTTTCTTGCCCCTGCAGTTGAGGAGGGACCAGCGTTTGTAGTTAACGTTGCAGACGTGAACATCATTTCCGTTGTTTTCCCCAAACGGGATTCCGGTCCCGCCAAACACAAGCAGGTTGTTTCCGTGCAAAACAGCTGTGTAATGTACAAAGAAGATGGTCAAGTGAGGTAAGAGGTTTAAAATACCGGTAACAGACGTGTGGCCTTTCAGCACATCCTCAAAACACAACAAAATCCCAAATCAAACAAGACAAAAACAAAGCCAATAAATTTATATTATACACGTACACATATAGCAAATCAAAACGGCTTGATAATTGAGACGGTTTAGAATTTTGGGGGATTAAAACAAACAAACATTTTATCCTTGTAGGGTGGTTGTCCCCACACAATTCTAAAATACATTTATATGCAAACACCATGTAAAAGTGAATTTTGCATTCGATGTTCCCTTTAAATTACACTCAATTAAGTTTTTATAATAATAAAGTTACAATACTAACTTTACAATCACATAAATATAAACATTTAAATGCTACAGCGATCTGTCACTCCACATTAAACAGCACCAAAACTGTATTTATTGTTTGAATATTGTAATAAAATGGCCAGAATTTGAAATCTGAGACTTAGCTTATTGTGATTTATTGGATGGGAGGTGCACAATGTTCCATTCATTAACTGAAAACAGGCTAGACTAATCGATTCTTGGGATTTAAGAATCAATATAATTTCGTAAAAATTTTAATCGAGAAATCTATATATCTATAGATCGATAGATAAAAACATTATACCTGACATTGAAGCCAGTTCAGTAGGCATGAAACCCTCAGTGCGGATCTGTTGCCATGTTCCTGTGGCGAAGTGGAACCTCCACAGCTCCCTGAACAGTGGGTAGTCTTCATTCTCTGAGCCACCTGATTCATCGTAGTCGGGGTTATACCCTCCAAACACATAAAGGTTGGTGTTGTCCGCCACACAGCGATGGCCGCTCCGGGCTGGAGGGGCTCTGTGACCTACATAGACAGATAGCAGCCTATTGATGACGAGACCACAAAGATAAACAACTAAATTTGCTAAATTCAAAGGGAAGCAGTTGGAAAACAAAAAAAATGTACCTACATTTCAGACATAAATGACAGTAGATCAACACACATTTTTAATTAGATTAGCAATATTATGAATAAAGTGAGCAAATCCAACCACATCCATCCTACTTGAAATGCATACTTCAGGCTGCAAATTAAAACCGAGTAAGCTTTATAATCTCCAACCAGATTTATTAATATTTAATACAGCAGAATTTTATAACAGGATACAAATATGGACAGATATGGAAGTGACTAGTTTCAAGAATCAGGTTTAGACTTAGATGAACTTCCTTCTCTTAGAAGAAGCTTAAGAATGTGCTCTTGTGTATCACACATTTGTTCAGGATCAGATAAATACACAAAAGAGTATACATAGGGGTTACAGTGACACAACAGTAACCCAAAATTAATTAATGACAACTAGTTGAAATCCTCATAAGCCCTCATTTTTTGCCAAGGTCTAGTTAATTAAATGTTCATGTCAAAGAAGCTATGGCCACTCTTCCCCCAAACACAATGCACAGAAACACAAACAGGAGTTCAGCTGAAACAACTCCATTTCTAAATATATGCTTTTATTTATTAATATAGTAATAATAATAATAATAATATCTGCTGTTATTATAACAATAAAAAATATATTATTTACATTTACATATTTTTATTTTATTTATGAAGAGTTTGGATCCAAAACGCTATAAATCCATTTGGATTAATTTGAGTAAAAATGTGTTTTCCAAGAAAGTGGCAAGATGAAAACCACTATTTTCTGTTTCAAACTTTCACATAGCATCTTTAGGTTATATAATAACATTAAAAATTCAAATCCAGATTTTGATTTTCAAATTCTAGTTAATTAAATGTTCATGTCAAAGAAGCTATGGCCACTCTTCCCCCAAACACAATGCACAGAAACACAAACAGGAGTTCAGCTGAAACAACTCCATTTCTAAATATATGCTTTTATTTATTAATATAGTAATAATAATAATAATAATAATATCTGCTGTTATTATAACAATAAAAAATATATTATTTACATTTACATATTTTTATTTTATTTATGAAGAGTTTGGATCCAAAACGCTATAAATCCATTTAGATTAATTTGAGTAAAAATGTGTTTTCCAAGAAAGTGGCAAGATGAAAACCACTATTTTCTGTTTCAAACTTTCACATAGCATCTTTAGGTTATATAATAACATTAAAAATTCAAATCCAGATTTTGATTTTCAAAGATTTATTATAACATTTTATTATTATTTCCCCAAAATGCAATAAATCCATGACACTTTTTTTTTTATTGAAAGTTATTTTTCATATTGAAACTGTTGAAAATACACAACATAGTAAGTTGATCCACATATGACAGCCTCTGAACTTGGTCAATACTAATCTTATATACAGGCACTGGACTAAAAATACATTCAATCAGTCATCGCTCCAAAAAAAATGTAACGGGTCATCTTGTTAATGCTATAAATGAATTACAACAATAAAAGAAAATGTCATCATGAAAAGGGATGTAACGATTCACTCAACTCCCGATTCGATTCACGATTTATTTATTTTTTTTACAAAATGAGATTTAAGACAAATTATAAATTAAATATGTCCTTTTATTATTGCTTGGACAAAATGCTGCACATTTCTTTGTGAAATTGAAATATAACACTATAATAATATACTAATATAGCACTTGCATATTATTGCTCAATATGTCCTTTTATTATTGTTTGGACAAAATGCTGCACATTTCTTTGTGAAATTGAAATATAACACTATAATAATATACTAATATAGCACTTGCATATTATTGCTCTTTTGTTGGTTATGATTGCTTCAATTGTCCTCATTTGTAAATCGCTTTGGATAAAAGCGTCTGCTAAATTACAAAATTTAAATATAATGTAAATGTAAATAACCAAACTAAATTGAAATTTTAAAACAAGCTCCAAATTAAATAAATAACACAAATAAAAGAAATATCTTCATATAAACAAAGTAAGGCTTTGTCTGTGCTCTTTCCATTTAAAATTAGAGGCAACCATTGCATTTTAATCTTGATCCAAACAAAGATGCTGCATACATGCAACATGAGCAGTTTTTAAACTAAATTAGATTGTATAATTTCGAAATTGTCCAAGCAAGCACAGTCTCGCCTAAAAACTCTTAAAACTGCATTTCGTGACACAAAACAGTATTATTTTTTAAACTATCGTAGATTTGGGTGTCCGCCATGACACTCGCTGTGAGAAATACGGCAACTTCGGCAAGCGGAGTGATACTAACGGTGAAGAGGTGAGGAGCTCTGTTGGACTCTAATATCGCACTCTTATCAGCCAATCAGATTCGAGAACCAGAAAGAACTGTTGTATAAATAAAAATATCTGCATGAAACATCAGACGAGCTGAATGAGATGCAGATTCACTCTCTGCCAGCAGGTGGCGCTTAAAGCGTTTCCTGGTTTCCGCTGTAAACAAAGCAGCCCTGCACTTATGAACTTTAATATGCATTATCCAGAGGCAAGAGGAAAAGAAAAAATACCATCTAAACTTTTCTAAAGACAGTAAGTTCCCAGACATACATTCATATAAACTCCTACCCCTAAATGAATCGCGATTTGTTTAGCATCTCAACCGATTTAAATAGTCACATATTTTAAGCGATTTTCAACCGGCTCGTGGTTAATCGTTACATCCCTAATCATGAACATACATGAACAACAATCTCACATTAAACCACAGAAATTCCAAAATGAAAATTCCCTTACATTCAACTTCCAAAAGTGCATTCATCTTTGCCATGTTACATTCATTTAGTTGACAAGTGCTATACGCTGTATTGACAAAAACATTAATGGCATAAATAAAAACACTTACACTGACAAGCTACGCAATATCGCGTTCATAATCGAATGAGACTCATCTGCGATTATGAACGCGATATAGCAGTGATCTACGGCTCTGTGTATTAAATGCCGCTCCATCTGAAAGCACGTGATGGAGATTTACTATTAATCACAGAACCGGCTTTACTGACGAGATGCGCATGACAATCACATGCGATTTATCGTGCAGCCCTAATTTTTTTTTTGTTT